GTGTTTACTATAGTTTACATTTTCCTAAGGTTGTACGAGCTCAAAGAGGGTAAGTATTTGAGTATCAAAGCCTTTCTCAAACATGTTAGTGCGAGGGACAATCAAAAAGGTGTAGTTATTGTACCTTAATGGCCTAGAAGATTGACCATTCTTGAATTTCCTATCATTATGAGGGCAAAATCAGTCTGGCTTTGATAACTCAGTCTTATTTTTGGTTGAGGATCAACTTAACTGTCGATTGGCCTTATATTCCTCCATCCAAATGAAGCTAACAAAGTGATTCGTTAGGTTATTCATATTCACAAGTTTGTGTCAATAGAGGTTGTTGGAGAATGACCCTGCCTTTAGTGCATTTAGCATGACAATTAGGGTGACCTAGGAATGAAAGTCTTGTATTTTGTTGCTACTATTGAGAATCTCTCCATGAAGGGTTGGAATTATTCCTTGTCATCTTGCTTCATGTTAAGCAACATAAGAGTTGAGATCTCATGAGGTTGGATGGTGGTAAAGCATGCTTTGAACTTTCGTGTCAGGATGGCATAACTGGGTATACGTAGTTGTAGACCCCTAAAATTGTCCGGGTCGGAAATAAAGCTTGAAGACTCTCGAAGACTGAAGGAAGATCAGCCAGAAGGACTCCTGGAAGGCCCTAGGAGGGTTCTCTGTAGGTCTAGAGGTCTTAGAATAGCTCAAAATAAGGAAGTGGAGGGAATGAAGCCCAATACGGCCGTACTGTGCTCATCCAGGCACATTGAGCCCTCATATGCCTTCATGGTGATGTGTTTCCATCATCGAGGCGGTGCAATATTGATGACTTCATTAGTAAAAGACTGAATGTGATGTTCACAATCAATTTTCCCCAAGAGAATTCGAAGGTAGAAGTGACTCTCCTAACTAGGCTAAGAGCCTTGCATGGTATGGGTGTCTGACATGGGTTTGGAGGTTGTGTGCTCCTTTATTTTGATGGGCTCGTCCTTGAGCAAATATTGATGTTCTCCTGGCATAGGGCTTGGAGTTCCTACTTGTAGTATACGTGATCACCTTCATAGTGTGCCTAATCAACTTCACACTACTAGTGAAAGACCACTAAGGCTTCTTCTTTATGCTTATGCATAGCTTGCATGCACTGTAATAGTTTGACATTGGACGGTATAATAGGCGGAACTGTGGTAGCAATCGATGTTATAGGCGCCATAGATGGGACTATGGCAGCAACGGATATTAGGAGTTGTTATGTTGAGGTCATTACAAAGGCTCATACTAGGTTTTTGCTCATTGTTTGGTGTTACATAGAAACCACATTTGGCTGAAGGATTGTTTAACTTCGACTCCACTGTAGATGCCAAATGTTCTTACCAAAATTTGCAGGTGCATCAATGACGGGGTGATGTCCAAGATGTTCCAATATCAATGGTAGTGGGGCTCTTGTAACGACACTTCAATGCTCAAGTTAAAGACGATTATGGAGTATGTGTAAAAATTAGGTTAGAGCAATATCTAGTGCCTCATATATAGGTGATTGAATCTATCTCTAAGCTTAAAGATAATGTTGATTGATTTTGGGAGATATTTGATGAGCGAATATATTGTTCCTAATATCTTGATCCTTAATGTACTTAAATTTTTTTAAAGATATGGCACAAAAATTATCCTTTGATCATTGGAGATATAACTGTTGGGGATCTAGCGTGGTTGAGCTGAGCTGACGAAGCCTAGTCAGCCTGCCCGACTTTGCCATGAGCTCAATTCGGTCTGTTAGAGATGGACAGTACACTATGCACTCCCAATGACAATGCATAATCAAGTGAAAATAGAAAATTATTTGAAACAAGTCAAAGCTTAAAAAAAAAAAAAAAAAAAAAAAAAAAACAAAAAAAGTT